CTTGGTTGGCCTAGGTGGATAACGATTCGGGATTCGAACTGGAGACCATGTGTGTGTGTGTGTGATAGTGCGGCACTTGATGCTATACCACCTTGGCCTACGTAGAAATGTGTCAGCTTAAGTTTATAAGAAGGGCGCTCCTAGTAAACTCATCGGTACACTTACCAAACCCTATGGATTAAACGATAATGAACGATAACGAACGAGGGATGACTCAGGAAGACCCCTGTCTGACTTCATAAATCAGGATTAAGATCAATTTGCAAGGGATCTCGTGTTCTTTTGGATGTCATAAAATCACATGTTACTACGGCGGGATTAGTAGGAAGCTGAGAGGGTACTAAAGAGCATTTCCGATTAGCCGTCTACGCTCGACCAACTCCCGAACATGAACCTTGGGGGCAGACGTGCACAGGAAATGGGCTGTCGTTCTCGAGAACGCAAAAGTAGTCAACAAAAAAGCATATAGAATGAGTAGAACGAACGGTTTTCGCTGATGGGGAAGAGTTCCCGACCGCGCTCTCCAGCAGTTGCGATCGTTCACTGAGTTTTTTCAGTTTCGACTCGGTCCTGGAAAAATGAAAAATTAGGTCATAAAATCAGAAAAATATCTACTCCCTCCCTAATTCGGGTAGATTTTTATATTTCCGAGACATCCAGGGAATGCCCTTACCTTTCGCGAAGTCTTGCGAATATAGTATAGTAGCATACAGCCATTGTGGCAAACGGAAGTATAAACTGCATTACCAACACCATCAAAGCGTAACCCTTACGCACTTCCGGAAGAGGCCATTTTTCGGTACAGAACTAAAATTGGAACTGTTGGAAGAACCACACCAGCGACTTCCTTTCAGGGAAATTGCGTAAGTATCGAAGAGTCCTTGAAAGGCGTGGGACTTCTTCTAACTCAGAAAGAAACAGAAGAAAGCGAAAGGCAGGATTTTTGCTGTTTTGACTTACCTCTCCACATAGTCCACCTATACGAACCACGTCCATATACCATCCATATGGCATACAGACAAGGGCGGAAATGATCCACAACAGCAATGCGACCACCGACGCACCTCGAGATCGCAGCGGATGGCGATGTGGTCGAACAACGAGATTATATCTGAATTGGTATGTTTTTTGATGGGTTCTGCTCAGAGTACAAGAAAGCGAATTCCCTCAAGTACTTCCCGACTGGAGGACGATATCAACCAGTTATCGCGCAAAGATGAAGCCCTAGTGTTGACTGTGTCACACTTCACAACTACATAAGTGGGACTCCACCCAGAACCACATGGGTTTCCCCTCACACTGATGCTGGATGTTCGTGAATCAGTGCCAAACTTATTTCCGAGCATTAAACCAAACTGTATTACTTCTTTCAGCTTTAAAGGTGGTCTTACAAGTCATCTACATATTTTACACCTCCGCGTTAGAGAACCGAAATTAATCATGGTGCACATCCATAGATCTCAGGAGTTTATTCACTTTTTGTCTTTCGGGTATTTGGCGTTTTAGAACAACCAACATCTAGATTATGGGAGATGGAGATGAAGATGGCGCCAGGTAGTGCCGTTGTCATACATATCCATGGTTCTGGGATCGAGGTCTGAATGGATAAGACCAAGTTTTCCATGTAATGCAGTCAGTCGCTCGGTTGTTGTTTGACCTGTTTGAAATGGTACCCCGTATCACAGTTGATCCCTATAAGTCCCTGACGCTCCTTAGTGGGAGTTAGTGCACAGGCTTATTCCAACAAGGGATTGGTCAAGGCCAGAAGGCTTTGCCTTTTTTGCCCTTGATATGATGGATGTTGTGAATTGAGATTTCCTAACACCTACAGGTCTTTATTAGCTCCCTAGAGAGTGATTCGTTCTCTACTAAAGTGGAGGCGGTTTTTTTTTCAGCACTAAACTTTCTTAACGAAAATCGATACACGTCCCAGGAACAATTTCTGGCAGTTGGACTCGTTAACGTTTCACAATATAAAAAGAAATTGAGTTAGTAATTTAATTTTATTTTCTTACCGATCTAATGCAATTGCCGAAAGGGAGAACGTCGACACAAACACCGATGCACCCTGTAATTGATCCTTATTGTTATTGGACAATCATCAAAGTAGTCAAAAATAGAAAAAATATGTAGAGGAAGCGTTTCGAGGTAGAAATCAGAGAAAACTACACAAGTAAATTGATCGATGATGCACCACGCATTCAACTTTTGTTCCGAAGCGTAACGGCCTCAAATGGCGTAACACTTTGATTACTCGGTTTCCGATCAGAGCGGAAAATCCAGTGGGCCTCTCTTGTTATGTTCGGTATGTTTAGAAGCCGAATATTATGGAAAGGCGATGAAATGAGTGAGCCTAATGCTTAGCGATCTTGTCGGAGAGAATCCTGATTCGAAAATTCGAAAATCCTGACTACGCCTTTAAAAGGGCTAGAGGAAACATGAAAGACTAAAGAACTAAAGAAAGAGGAATGTAAGGCCACTCAGATTTTCGGTGAAAATCTCTCACTAAGGAAGAACTGCCTACCAAACTGCTACGTATTCTATGCGGGTACTAGGTTCTTACTAAGAAATACAGTAGCACATGATTCGAGTCGATAACGTTGCCATATAGAAAACTCAGCCAGATAGCAGTTACTCATTCATGAATTGAAGTAAGCATTCCGTTCCTTCTTCATGGTCGTCTAGGATTCCCGTGAAGGGTGGGAAAGTTGGTGATAGAAAAAAGGATATCGGTTGAGTTGTCTATCGAAATGATCTATCACGCAGAGGTAGAGATGAAAAGAAGATTGCATGGCGCAATACGGACGGATTGTTTTCTCCTTTGTTGTTTGATATGCACGACGCAAGTTCAGTTCCATATAGTTTTTCAATAAGAGAGTGAAATGTACCTGGACAAGTGGAATCAGCTTGCAGACGGGTGATGCAAAAAACCACGTTTTATAGACATTTGTAATCGGTGTAATTGGCAACGACGTCAGGCACATGAGCACATCACTGGCAGCCAAATTTAAGATGAATATATTCTGTACGGACTGCAGGTGACGGTTTTTCAATGTGAGGTACCTGAAGTCATGAGTATGGTAATTTGAGTAGCTGCACCCTTGATCACCCATC